TAGATGTATGGTAGGGGTATGCTTTGTTATGAACTCACGATGCAATGATTGTCTCACTCAGCCATGCATGAGCTGACCCTGTTTTATTATTTTCCTCTACTTATGCTATGAGTAAGCAGATCATCAGTTGTAGCGCTTGGATGACTACATGAATGTTTGGCCATTGATCCACACTCTTTTGTAAAACTGTTTTGAGAACATGTCATGTACATACTAGCTTCTCATGTAGTATGTGGGATCCACAAGTGTGGTAGGTTGTTAGTATATATGTGTGTGGTTTTATATGTAATGATGATCATGACATTAACTAGTATATTATGCACAGTATGAAACTGTGGCTACGGCTATGGAAGGTGGTGTATATGGTTGTAGTATATATGTGTACCTAGGGATAAGGGTGACAACAAAACCCGAACCCGCAGGTACCCACCAGACCCAACCCGGTCAACGCGGGTAAAATCCGTGTTTGGGACGGGTTCGGGTTTAAACCTATTCACTATTCACTAGGTTGGGTTGGTTTTGGGTTTAGGTAAAGCCGCCCCATGGGTACCCGCCCACACCCATATAAATAATTTTCTCGGTATATTTAATATTCTAAACAACTAATGTTTTTTATGTTTGTGGAGACATGTCTAATTTTTTCTTTGTATAATTGTGTAGAATGAAGTTGATGTTATCGAGTGGAGAGTGAAGAAACTTAATTGACAAGGGGGAAGAAGCTTTCAATTAATCATGTTATTTATGGATAATTTGTGATTTGCTTCAATTTTCTCGAGTTTTATAGATTGGTGTTGAACAATTTGTATAGTTAATTTGTGAGTTGCTTGAATTTTCTAGAATGGTGTTCTATATATGGATAATTTGTATTGAGAGATTGATATTTGACTTTAATTTTGATGGGAACTTGTTATTGTGAATTTCTTACGACAAAAAACCCGTGGGTACCCATGAACCCGCGGATACCCAGCGGGTTGGGTTGGGTTTGAGTTTTTCAAACCCAGTGGATTTTACTCCGGGTTTTTTTTCACGGATAAACCCATGAGTTTTGGTTTGGCAAAACCTGACCCATTGCAATCCCTACCTAGGGATGCAGAGAATCAAATATGTTATGTTGCAGGTCTGATTGCAAGAACTATTAGCCTATTACGCGATTGATTCATTCTGAATTTAATTTTGAGAAAATTTATGAATTAATGTAACACCCGAGATTATTTTCGCGGTGAATGTATGAAAAAATTGATTAGTTAATACGTACATGGTGGAGGTGTTACAATTTGGTATCACAGCTGGTTTGCTTTCTGCATTATGGGTATGTTACTTCCGCTATTGAGGACTGGTCACCCTAAAAAAGGGCAGGGAGTACTCCATACCTGTAGTTGCACTAAACTTGCCAGGAATTGGGACCAAAGGTGATGATGTGTTGCATAGTCAGTTGCATGTGGTCAAAAAGGATTTTGAGTATTGGAAAGAGTTTTGAAAAATATATGGTTTAAAAGATTTTGATAATTTTGCAGCGTTTTATCTTGTTTTCCAAGTTTTTCCAGAAATGGCACCTTTAGGTTGGTCTTCAATCCTTGCACGGAGTTTGACTTGAGTCCCATCTAGCGCCCCTAAGCAACCCTAAAGAACAAAACAATAGTTTGTATCACCTTAAATTATTTCCATTTAGCATCCTCTAAGCCTTCTAGTATATGTGTTGGTTGGGGTACTAAACTGAAATGGAGTTGGAGAATAACATCAAGGACGTTATGGAATACTTTTGAAATTGTTTGGTCTAATCGACGTAGATATTGTTGTAGTATCCTGTTCTCGATGGTGTGTCCAATTGTGATAAAATATATCATGACCATCTCATATATGTCTACATTGTCAGCACCTTTTAACCAAGGATTGCGAAACCATACCGGATTCTTTATTGGTAGGGTATTTTGTGGTACGACCGTGGTTCAACCGTTTCATGCCGTTAAATACCGTTTTTGTAATAGTAAATTATTTTTTTGGTCAAAAAACCGTACCGGCCACAACATGATACCATTATGGAATAATACCGGAATAATAACAAAAATGCCGGATAGAAAATCATAAAATAAAACAGTAGCCGCATGTAAAAAATGGCTAGGCTGTGCGTTTTGGAATCATGGAATAAAACAATTACTTCCCCCCTAATATCTCTATCTCTCTCGTTCTAAATTCTAATCCTCTCCTTCTCTCTCTCTTACTTTCCCCTTTCTCAACTCTGCTTCTCTTCTGTTCTTCTTCCACTCATCCTCTTCTCCTCAAAACAGCGATGAAAGTGATCTAGACGGAAATCCCAATTACTCGCCAGGAAGTGATCGTCGGCAGACCTAGGGGTTACACACCTCTTTCTCTCTCTTCCGCTTTGTCCCTCTCTACATGCAGAAATTCAGGACACAAATCCCTTCTTCCCCCATCTTATTCCAACTCTCTCTCTCTCTCTCTCTCTCTCTCTCTCTCGATCTGCAGAGATAGAGGAGGAGGGAATCCGTCTAGATCAACAGAGGCGACCCTCATGATTCTCCGTATTCGTGGAGGCATGCAAATCTACAGCGAGGGATTCACTGGTGGGGGATTGACACTGACGAATCTACGGTGGGGTTTAACGGCGGGGTTTAACGGCAGCTAATCTGCGGTGAGGTTTGACGAAGGCTTAAGCGCCGCCTTTGCTTTTCTGACCTAGGGTCGAAACTCGAAACATGACTTTTTGGCTGGGATTGAAGGACCGCCGGCTGGATCAAAACCGGCCGGTATTTCGCGGCAGGCCGGTCGAATACAAAATACCGGCCGGTACCATATTCTAACTTTGCAATCTGTACCGTATCGGAATTTGCCTGGTTTCCGGTTTTTCCGGTTCAACCGGCCAGTACGGTACGGTAAAACAGTCCATGCTTTTAACACCCTCACTAACAAGTACTTGACACAACATTCTAAATACGGTACAATTCATCTAAACCTTACAAATACATTGAACATAAGACAATTCGAGTGTGTATCTCATATAACGCCTTCTATCATGTTAGCGGGCAAATATGTTCTAGAGGGGCGTTCCGAGGAATCCTAGGGTCTAATGACCTTTCCAATACTAGAAGCTCCAACAATTGAATCAACAATGAAAAATAGACATAGCAATAATCCTAAAGCTATTCTAATTGCCTCTGCAGCTTTCCGATTGTGAACATTAGATACCCTTTTCAATCAAGCCATTTCCTCTACATAAATCAAAGGAATGCAGGTTAGGAAGACATTATGAACCCAATAATTGAAAACCATCGCATGAAGCAGCAATAATGAAAAAATGAGACAAATTGGACAGAACACAGTGGGACAGGAACAAAGGGAGCATAAGAGGGTTGAACAACAACTAATAATGGGAAAGACAGAAAACAAACAAAGCATAAGGGCAACAACCATTCATTTTGCAATTGTAGGTGTTTTTCAGTAGATAAAGATGAAAACTAACAGCCTTGAGATTTTCAGGGTTACACAAGTATAATTTGATTATGTAATTGGGGGGTTTATAGGCAGCAAAAAGCACTTCAACACACAACCAATACTTACTCAGTTAGTCAGAGTCTTCAATGGATACCGCCCACGACGTCGAGACCGCTGTTGTAGTGTCCGACTAGAATTTTGTTTGTCGACGATCATCTTAGTCTCCTAAAGCAAGCTCGCCTCCCCCCTGCCCTCCCTCTCTTCAGTTTTTCGCGAGCTCCACGACTAAAGAATGGACCTGCCAACGACAAAATAAACTCAGCAAGGACAAATGTGGAATCCAGAGTTATTTTTTATCACCCAAAAACCTCTGTCCCACGTGCCACTTTGTGACATCTGGGCCTACTAAATCTAGTGGCCACCTACAATCAATTTCGACGTCAACAGTCTTTGCCCCTAGCAGCATTATACCTCCGGGAACACCAAACGGACCCCGCTTGGATCGATCCTGATATCTACAACTCCCTAGACTACATTGTCGCGACAGGTTTACTATTAGACTATCTTACATTTGGTAATGTGGAACACCAAACGGACCCAACAAAATGTAGATTTCGTCAAAACTTTGATACTTAAAATTAAGGTTCTAAATTCACTATCACCCAAATCCCACAAACAAACGATAACTAAAGGGAGTTGCTAATTGTCGCCCTTAGTTTTCTATAATCGCCCTAAATTAAAAGTGAAAGTTACCTTTTTATCCTTTCATTTTTTATTTTATTTTTAGCATATATTATATTCTAATAAAAAAATCCATCCAACAAACACAAATTAACATTTGACAATAACCGTCCGGTCGCCGACCCGTGATTCCACCGCCGCCTGCCGCCCGCCATCATCTTAGGTCGACCTGGGGCTCCCGCTAAGTTTCATCACCAACATAATTTTCATCACCAACATAATTTTGGGAAGGTTAAACTAAGTTGGATGGTATCAATTAACTCCCCTTTATGCAATTCTTTTCAACTACGGAGAAATGACGAAATCCAACACGGCTCTGGACAATTGGGGATTGAGTACATAGAGAAGGCGTTCTGGCGTAATTGTCTATCTAATATTCGACAAAGAAGGAACAGTGGTTAATTTTAGAGCGGGGCCATTGACAAACGTCATACATAGTAAGGGAGAAGGAACGATGACAGAGGGTCGTTTGGAATTAAAGAGGTCGCCGCAGTGGATGGATTGTACCACCGGTGAATAAAGAATGACTCGACGACGGACGGTAGTTTGGAGGCTCCTTATCCACAAAGATGAAGGAGTAGGGTGAATTTAGGATATTTTTCATTTTTTTTTATTCATTAATGAAGGATAATTTAGTGATTTTACATTTTAAGTTAGAACGATTCTAGTAAATTTAGGGCGAGGTTTAGCCATTGAGTAACTAAATAGCCCTTAAAATGAAAAACCTATGCCGGCGAAAGAAGATCGTGATCTGGAAGGCACAGGCCCAGCACAAGCCCAAAACGTCGGAACGGCGCGGTTAAAATGCTCTGGCCAAAATGAAAGAAAAGGGGAAAAAACAAGTTCTAGCCTTCTAGGGCATTCTTTGTTACAGACTGGGTTGGCGGCTTGGCGCTTCGCTTTTGCTAGTAGCACTCACTGTTTAAAGCTAGGAAACGCTGCTCAGTAGAACTCATCCTTTGGAAACTGATCCCTCCAAAGTCCAAACCGAGCGGAACTGATTATCTATTTTAGGGTTTTCCGGCGAAGAAGAAGAAGGCAGAGGAGTCGAGTGAGAGAAAATGGGATTCTCAATGCAGCCTTACGGTATACAATCAATGCTCAAGGAAGGGCACAAGCATCTCTCCGGTCTCGACGAAGCCGTCATCAAGAACATCGACGCCTGCAAGCAGCTCTCCACAATCACCCGCACCTCTCTCGGCCCCAATGGTATATTTATCAGATTCACCCCATTTCCCGTTTCAGGGCTTTTAAGGGTTTCCCGATTCCGATCTCTTGAATTTGTTGGGTGGATTTGTCTTCCTTAGGCATGAATAAGATGGTTATCAATCATTTGGACAAGCTGTTTGTCACCAACGATGCGGCCACCATCGTGAATGAGCTTGAAGTTCAGCACCCTGCTGCCAAGATTTTGGTCCTGGCTGGGAAAGCACAGCAGGAGGAAATTGGGGATGGAGCTAACTTGACCATCTCTTTCGCTGGTGAGCTCCTTCAGAATGCTGAAGAACTCATCCGGATGGGCCTGCATCCAAGTGAGATCATCAGTGGCTACACCAAGGCCATTGGCAAGGTAAATATTATGACATAGCTTATGAATGTGCATCGAATGTGTGTGCTTTCTTTTACTCATACTATGCTCTCTTTTTGTCTCCCAGGCGATTGAGATATTGGATGAATTGGTAGAGCAAGGTTCTGAAACGATGGATGTGAGGAACAAGGAGCAAGTTGTTTCTAGGATGAGGGCTGCTGTTGCTAGCAAGCAATTTGGACAAGAAGATGTTTTGTGTAGCTTGATTGCTGATGTATGCACACTAATTATAACCTGGTTTGTTATCCACGTCGTTTCTGGTCAAATTTGTTTCCTTGACTTGTTTCATTTCTTGCTTGGACCATAGGCATGCATACAAGTTTGCCCCAAGAACCCAGTAAGCTTCAATGTGGATAGTGTCCGTGTTGCAAAGCTTGTGGGAGGAGGTTTAAACAATAGTTCCATAGTTCGTGGATTGGTCTTGAGAGGTGATGCTGTCGGCACAATTAAGAGAATAGAGAAGGCGAAGGTGAAGATGAATGCTTTCTTTGATTCCGTTTCTACATTCTAAGTATTACATTGTTCTTTCTTATATATTGGGAAAAAGTTACTGCACTTTTAAGACACAGGTTACTGATCACTCCCTGAATAAAAAGAAATCCCATTTTAGTATTTCTCTGCCTTTGCATGTGTAGGTTGCTGTATTTGTCGGTGGTGTTGATACAGCTGGAACTGAAACCAAAGGAACTGTCCTAATTAACACGGCTGAACAGGTATATCCATATTTGTTCTGTTCCAGTTGAGTTATTGTTGTTAATTCCTTGTGTCTGTGATGTGTTTTAATGCTGCAGATTCCAGAAACTTATGTTTTGTTGTATTTAATGTTTCTCTGCTATGCAGCTACAAAATTATGCAAAGACTGAGGAAGCTAAAGTTGAGGAGCTTATTAAGGCAGTAGCTGATTCTGGCGCTAAAGTTATTGTCAGTGGTGCTGCTGTTGGAGAGATGGCCCTGCATTTCTGTGAACGATATAAGTATGCTTTGTCTGGCCTAACATCTTGCTGATTTTTTGATCCTAGCTCTGTTCCTTTTTCATATTGGTATGCATGTGCTCTCAGTTGAACAGTTTGAGTTGAAATTACAATTTTAAAACTGGCTACTCGGTGAATTCTTTTGACTGGCCCCATTATCTTTTTCATGGTCTGTGATTCTTTAACTTGCAGACTTATGGTCTTGAAGATCAGCTCGAAATTTGAATTAAGACGATTTTGTCGCACAACTGGTGCGATTGCAATGGTATGTTTGTTGTCCAGTTGAACTTATCTTTGTTGCAGTTGATTTGCCCCTTATTCTTCCTGTTTTGTGCAACAGTTGAAGCTTAGCGCACCGAATCCAGATGACTTGGGACATGTAGATTCAGTTTCAGTTGAGGAAATTGGTGGCTCGAGGGTATGTCCAAATACGATGTTTTAATCATATGGCTGTTTCACTCCAGGCAGTTCTTAATGACTTGGTTTCTCATGTTGAGTTGTGCAGGTCACTATTGTGAGAAATGAAGAAGGTGGAAACTCAATAAGTACTTTGGTCTTGCGAGGCAGCACAGAAAGTATACTGGACGACCTTGAAAGGGCTGTTGATGATGGAGTGAATACCTACAAGGTACATAAGCTCAACCGCTTTCCTTTTTGTTTGCTTGCAAATCTTTGTTAAGACTTGGATTACCTCGTGATGCTTCTGACAGTGTCAAGAGAATTCAGGAAGTCCCTAAACAATCTTGTTGTGAAATGGTTTATTCATTCATTTTTTTTTCCTGTTTAAAATTCTACTGCTACTGTGCTGCTTAAACCTCTTATGCATCTTTGGTATCAGGCAATGTGCAGAGACAGCCGAACAGTGCCCGGAGCTGCAGCTACTGAGATTGAGTTGGCTAAACGAGTGAAGGAATTCTCATTTAAAGAAACAGGGTAAATTTCTTGCTTTTAACTACAGTTTTGTTTTTAAATTTTAATAGAACTGTAGTTCTGTTTCGTTGGTTCTATCTAAAGCGATTTTTAATAATCCTCGAAATCTGGTGATATTGTGAAATGATCCTTGCAGGTTGGATCAATACGCAATTGCCAAATTTGCCGAAAGCTTTGAGATGGTTCCAAAGACGCTTGCTGAGAATGCTGGTCTTGACGCAATGCAGATAATATCTTCTCTCTATGCTGGACATGCATCTGGAAATGCCAAAATTGGCATAGACTTAGAGAATGGTGTTTGCAAGGATGTGACAGAGACCAAAGTTTGGGACCTCCATGTGACGAAGTATGCTCCAGTTATACCAGCTTTGACTGTCTAAATAATTGTTTGCTAATCCTGGGTCCTTGCGTTTTCATTTCTTTTTGAATTTTCCCTTGTGTCCAGGTTTTTCGCTCTCAAGTATGCTGCTGATGCTGCCTGCACGGTGTTGCGAGTCGATCAGGTATGCCGTGATTTTTGTTTCTAACTACGCCTTGGTTGGTTCGTTGTGTAGTTGATGTCGAAGTTATCAGAGGCATTAGATCATTGATTTGGTTTGCATTGCTCTTCTGGTGATGGCAGATTATAATGGCGAAACCAGCAGGTGGGCCTAGGAGAGATCAACAGCCAGCCAATGACGAAGACTAGTTCTTGTGCATCTCTGACGAATCCCATCAGTTTTGTCTTTTGTCTGTATCTTTATCCAGCAGAATATCGATTTACTTGGGGGTAGGAAGCATCTCTCGTTTTGATTTTAGTTTTCAGCTCTGCCCAAAGAATCAAACTTGCCCTTAAGAACAGTTTTGCTTAAAATTAAGGAGAATATGATCTGTATGCTATTGTATATCTGACTTGCACGATTGTGACTTGCGAGGGTTTGGTCAATGAATGGCCTCAAAGTTCTATAGCTCCTCTTGCTTTGATTTTCTGGAACTATGCCCCTTGGATTTGTTTTATTCACCATGGCTTGGAACTGTGGTCATGCATTTACTATTGTTTCCGGGTTACAGGTAAACAAATAGCAATCTTTCCTAAAGTAAGCTCTTCAAATGGTTTCCGTGACCCAAGTAGTTTCTGTAACTAGGGGTGGGCAAGGGGACGGGACGGGTATCCCGTCCCGTTTTAAACGGGTACCCAGTCCCGTTTGGAGACCAAAGTCCATCCCATATCCCAAACCCATATGGGAAACGGGTACCCATTTCCCGTACGGGACGGATAACGGGTACCCATACTACCGATAAATACCCAAAGTTTAAACCACTAAAATTTTAACAAAAGTTTAAACTTGTATTTGCTTAACAATCGCAAGACACAAAATACATCCCAATCACAAATACTCGGTTTGCAAATAACACATTCATGAACAATCACAACACATAGAAATAAATCATTCCAAGCACCAAATTATTAAATAAGAAGTTTCATTCAACACAACAAAATGGGAGGCATGCTGCTACTTTTCTTGTGTTGTTGAATGCAGAAAGTATCCAAATTTTTAGGTTCATGGGAAGCTAAAATCTATAGCAGAGAAGCTGAGTCTCACTGAAAGGGTAAGGGCCCTAGGCCCAAATGGCAAATGGAATTGAAATTGCAAGGGTGAGAGCCGAAATGGCCAGGGTTCTGAATGGGCTGGACTGCCTTTGTATTAAATGGGTATAACGGGTACCCATATTACCCAAACGGGTATTCGCGGGTAACCCGCGGGTACCCATATTAGGAATGTACAACCCCAAGTCCCATCCATTTATAATATTACGGGTAATATGGGTACCCGTAACCCTTAAAAAACGGGACGGGTACGGGTATACCCAAATACCCGTTTCCCGTTGCCCACCCCTATCTGTAACCACTCACCCGGAACAGGAACGTAATAAGAAACATGGTTTAGAAAATACTTACCGGAAAACTATCAATGGTCCATAAGAAGAGAAGACAAAAGTTAAGTTTTTAGTCCAAATATAGGGCCAATGGGTCTAAAATAAAAACAAAGAAAGCTGTTTTGTATGAAAGCTGGTGAGGATGAGCTTTCCCCACTCAGCTAGCTCACAGGGTCTGTGACTCTGTGGAAGCAGTTTTTTTTTTAATAAACATTCATTTCATTCATACCCAATAAGACGAGGCTTACAACATAGGGGAGACAATATTTAGCACAGTAATCCAATCCAGAGGAAGAAGACTAGGGCGAGCATTTCTAGCTACCCAATCTGCTTTCTTGTTACATTCTCGGTTAACAAAGGACACATGGATCCAGTCGGAAGAATGAAGGATACGAGCCACAGATGAGAGCGTAGCATAACATCTCCATGGCCAAGACTCAGGGGGAAGTTTCAGGGCTTCCACCAAAGTCTTGCAATCAGAAAGAATCTCTGTTGGAGAATGATCAGATGTCGCTGCTAAACAGGCCTCCAAAAGAGCACTAGCCTCAGCCTCTATGGGAGATGAACAAATGACCCTACCTGCCCGACCATCACAAATTTGTCCATAGGAATTAGTAATAACTATCCCGAAAGCCGCCTCCTGGGAGTCTTGATCGAAAGACCCATCACAGTAAATCCTCCTAAGAGGATTTCGTGGCGGTGAAGAAAGATGTGACGATCCTACACCAGACAGGTTCATGGGCGAAGGATTAGGAATAATGGGTATAGGTTCAACAGCCTCACGGTAGGCATTGATGGAGGTAGCCATCGGTGAAATTGTTGTTCCTCTGAAGATGAAATCGTTACGAGCCTTCCAAATATTCCAGAGACAGAACACTTTTTGACGAAGTACCATAGGTGACTCCAAGTCCCTCAAGGCGAAAAACCATTGACTGAAGTTTGCCGGAGGGAAAATCGATGGCATGAATCTATTCCAAGTCTCCTGAGCATGAGGACACCGAAAGAGGCAATGGATTGTATCCTCCACAGGATCATCACACAGTTGACAAGAGGAGGTGGTGGCACAATTCCGATGGTGAAGGTTAGCCTTTGTCGCCAGCGCTTTCCGCAAACATCTCCAGATGAAAAAGCGTAAATTTGGAGGAAGATCGAGAGACCACAACCATTTCCAACAATCATCTGTCGAGGGAAGATTAAGATCATGGATCTGTTGGGGTTGATGATGGCGCTTAAAAGCGCAAGTCTCATGATAGGCCGATCGAACCGTGAACTCCCCATTTGGGTTGAATTTCCAAGCCCAAATATCCTTCGCATCATCTGGGCCACTATGCACCCGAGAGATTGCTTCTGCTTCTGCCGGAGCACAATGAACATTAACAAGGCTCTAATTCCATTGCCTAGTGTCCTCCCTTATCCAATCACTGACTCTGGAAGCTGGGATGTTAGGAGTGCTGATTTTGTGACCTTCGAGGGATGGGAGCCAAGGATCCTTGTGAAACCATGATGAATTTCCGGAGCCAACCACCCTCACCGTCCCTAAATCAAGAGTTTTCTTGGATTCCCAGAGACTAGCCCAGATCCATGATGGTGAGCTTCCTTTGCGTGCCTGTCGAAAGTCTGAATTCGGGAAATACAATCTACGAAGAAGCCTTGCCCAAAGCGCCTCAGGTTCATTCAAAAGACGCCAACCCTGTTTTGCCAGCAAAGCAAGGGTAAACACATGAAAATTGCGAAACCCTAGCCCTCCTTTAAATTTTGAGTCATTGAGTACTTCCCCGTTCCTCCAAGGAATAGATCGTCTCTTCATGGATCCCGACCAGAAAAAATTTCGGAGGAGAGCATCCATTTTCTTTGTCATTGTGGCCGGTAAAAGGAACACGCTCATGATAAAGGTAGGGATAGTCTGGATAACCGCTTTGAGCAACGTTTCCTTTCCCCCATGAGAGAGTAAGACTTTTCACGATTCCCCTTTCTTCTCCATTCTCTCAATAAGGAATCTGAAGGTTTCAAATTTTGATCGCCCCCACTCTGTCGGTACCCCCAGGTATTTGTCATGGTTGATGGATGAAGGAAAACCCAGCTGAGTAGTAATTTGATGCCGAAGGTCATGAGGAGAGTTCTTGCTGAATAAGACTGAGGATTTTTCCATATTAACTTCTTGCCCCGTAAGACACCCATACTTGTTTATGATATGGAGAATGGCATCAGCTACTTCCACAGTTGCCCGTCCAAAAATGACTGTGTCATCCGCAAACAGACAATGCGAGAGAAGAGGACACCCATCCTTAAGTTTAAGCCCGTTGATGGTCCCTTGAGAAATTCCTTTTTCCAAGAGAAAAGATAGGGCATTAGACATCAAGATAAAGAGAAACGGAGAAAGAGGGCCACCCTGTCGAATCCCTCGAGAGGGAGTGAAGAACTCTGTTGGGCCACCATTGATGAGGATCGAGAACCAGACTGTGCGGACACATTCTTTAACCCAACTGCACCAGCTTGTGTTGAAACCATAAGCCACAAGAAGAGCATCCAAACAGTCCCAGTCCACCAAATCGTAAGCTTTACTCATGTCCATCTTGAGCATCATATCATACTTCCGTCCCCTCCTCCGATTCTTAAACTGATGAAGAACCTCATGAACAATAATGATGTTGTCCTAGATCATTCTTCCACCATTGAAAGCCGCTTGCATTTCCAAAACAAGATTTGGGATCATCTCTTTGATTCGAGTCGACATGATTTTTGATATCACCTTATACTTAAAATGCATCAGCTAATAGGACGAAACTGACTAATCTTTTCCGGTGAGGGAATCTTTGGTATAAGGGAAATATGAGTATCATTCCACCCCACCTGAAGGGAGGCTGTAGAGAAGAAAGTTTCAACTTCTTTGGTAAGCTCGTCCCCAATTAAGTCCCAATACTTCCGGAAGAAGAATCCATTGAAGCCATCAGGACCCGGTGACTTGTGAGGCCCCAAAGCAAAAACAACTTTCTTTATCTCTTCCCTCGTTACCGTCTTACTCAAGGCAAAATTCATATCATCAGTAACCAGCCTTGGAAACTGTTGAAGGATCCCATTGTCAAAACCAGTATCCTTAGCCGTGAAAAGCTCTTTAAAGAAATCTTTAATATGGGTGGATAACAGCATAGGCCGTTTAATCCACTCTCCATTTGGCCCTTTGAGTCCCACAATCCAATTAGAATGTTTCCTATAAACCGTTGAATTGTAAAAGAACTTTGTATTGCGATCACCCTCCGCAAGCCATTGAATTGTAGACCTTTGTTTCCACATTCTTTCCTGGTCCCTCCAAAGGAAATCCAACTCCTCAATAAGGATTCTTTCCTCTCCCAACACTTCATCCGAGCGAAACACATGGGAAAGAGATTCAAGTCTCCTTTTTATCTCCTCTTCTCTATGAAATTGGGCTTGAATCATACCTTTAGCCCATTCCTTAAGATCATTTTGGCACCTACGAACACGTTGCTCGTGAGATCCTTCCGAGGCCCAAGCACTCATCACAATGTGGTCACATTCCTCTTTACTAGCCCATCGTTCATCAAATCGAAAAGGTGTCCGGTTCCATGGCCCTGGCGAGTGAAACTCATGTCTCAAGGCTTGATGATCGGAGCCAATGTCACTTTCATGGAAAATTACGGCTTCCTCAAAAAATTCCCGCCAAGAAGGAGAACAAAATCCACGATCAAGCCGCCCCTTAATGTTGCGATCACCCCTTCTTTTGTTGTTCCAAGTGAATTGGGGACCCTTGTAACCCATATCCATAAGACCATTGTAAAAAATGAACCTCTTAAAAGGTTCAACCGATTCCCTTCTCGAAGCGCCACCACCAAGCTTCTCGTAGTCAAACAACATTGCATTCAAATCCCCAATTACAATCCAATGTACATTAGGTTCACTCCTATTCCTAGACAAAGAGTCCGAAAACACTCTCCTCTCATTTGCAATTGAGGGGGCGTGGGTAAAAGTCATAAAAAAACCACACCCATAATTAATAAAAACATCAATAAAGTTCCGACCACAATCCAAAACTTGGAGCGAAAAACCCGCCGTCCACCAAAGAGCAAGTCCTCCGGCCGTGCCTTCCGGATGAACGTAGAATTTTCCTTGAAAATTGTTCTGGACTCTTAAATCCTCCATAGTTTCCTCATTGTTCTTGGTTTCCATCAAGAAGACAATGGATGGGCGAAACTTCCGAATCATCCTTCTGAGATGATTTTTTGTTCGAGGTGGCCCAATACCTCGACAGTTCCAGCTTATGCAACTCATTCTTCACCCGGTGGCTTATAGTTGGCCACCTGCACTCCAGATTGTTCACCCATAAGCTTCTGTTTCTGCTGTTCTTGAGGTCCTGTACCTCCCTCTTCTGCACCGTGAGTGGTGATAACAAGAGCAGCCTGCTGCATTTTTTCCTTTCACCCTCATATGAGCATTCCTTTGTTTCACTGTGCCCTCCCCAAGAGAGAAGTAGGGCCCTTCGAAATCCAATTCCTGGCCATGCTTCCTTTTCTTGAAATTTGCCTGGCCTTCCTCCAACTTGTAATAACACTGATTAAGATCACCTTCTGTGGGCTTCTCATTTGAATCCATTTTCTTGTTCAACTCCATCATCATTTGGGCTAAGTTGGGATGAGCCTGTTGAGTAGAGAGATCCACATCATTATTATGACATTGGGCTGACTTGTTATGGGCTTGATACCCTTGGGCTTGCACCATCGGACTCCTATTCTAAAAGTTAGATATGGCCCACACTTCCTCTTCCAACTCTGACACCAGGTTACGAGCTAAAGGGAAAGAGCCACGGGAGGGCGGGATGATCGGTGGGACCCCATAGTGCACCATGTTCGCAGTAGGAGAGGGTGTTTGCTGGTGTTGGGAGATGAGATCTGTCCTTGTCAGAGGGGACGATAGAGCCGTTGGGTATGGGTGGGGTGTGAACCCCGACGGACCTCGGAGGGCGAGCCCAGTTGAGCCGTATGTTCCTAGGGTTCCCGGCGAAGCAGCTGCCGCCGGAATAAAACTCTCAGTTGCCGGAGAGCCCCTTCCCGGTACCCAGATCTGATCATGAAAAAAACCTGGAGAGTTTGTACTTGATCCCGCATCACCAGGAGATTGTTGCTATGAGTCTGCCTCTTGGAGGTGGAGGGGGGCGCACCGCATTAGTACCCGCTTTCATCCAAGCAGTGAATCTGCCTTCCGGTGGACCAGCTATACCTGCCTCTTCATTCGCCCTCCTCTGCTGACAATCTTGCTTGGTGTGACCTTGCCTTCCGCAATAATAGCAGAGAACATAGAGTCTTTCATAGCGGAAACCCAACCACTCACGTTTGCCATTGACACTATAGTATGATCCGGGAGGGAGAGGGCGAGAGAGGTCAGTTTGGATGAACACACGGACAAACTCCATATACCTATATGGGTTTAGGCCTCTCATGTCGATTCCATGGATTTTCGAAAACATGGCCACAGTAGATTCAATGTTGGAGGAGGTTCTCCTGTGGTCTGGGATTCCATGAACTTGCACCCAGAAGTCAGCTTGGTCAAAATTGATCTCCTGAGGGCGAGTAGCTTCCTCCCATTTCTTCAGTTGAAGCGTGCTGCCAGAGATTGCCCATGGCCTCCCTTCCCAAGCTTTGTCCATCTCCTCTTTTTTGTTGAAGTTGAAAATGAACGTCTTCCTAATCTTGTGCAGATCTTGGACAGTTGGTTCACAAAAGTGTGACCAAATTCCATTAATCATTCCTCCGATTGCACGCTTGCTGATTTCCCCGTCGGTGAAGATTTTCCCGACCAGTCGCAGAGTAGGAGTTTCGGGATTCTGGTGTGCCTCATCAGAGAACACTGCATTGAAATCCTCCCCTTCCCATTCTTGGTTAGGGGTGACCAGCCTATACTCTCCATCGTTCGCCATATCTGTTTTAGCAATGTAAGATCTTGAGGGAGAGAGAGAGAGGAAACAAAGTGGTTGAAAATAGAGGGGGATTTTGTAGATTGCAGGGGAAGATGGTGGGGGATTCCAAACGGTGGATCTGTCAATATATAGATAGGATTCTTCTCATGCTCCAAAAGCATTAAAGAAAAGGTCGGATTAGGTGAGATTTGAGATGGATGGGACTGGGTATACATCTTAACTCCTTCGCCAGCGCTAACCCCTTTTTGTGGCTCGAGGATTTCACGATTGTGGTCGGTATCGTTGATGGATATAGGGGGTTTGAAAAGGCTGGAGTTAATACTCTCTATTCCAGTCACTGACACACAGGAGAGGTGGAGGTATTTTAAGGTATTTAGTATTGAATGCGTGCAGAGGAGAAGGGTTGGATTGTGGTTGGATGGAATAACTGCTCCTTGAGAGATTTCCTGGGTAGTAAATCTGCAGGAGAAAGAGATTTCTTGCGTATCCTGACTGGCCTCATTACTCCAGATGGGACTTCCCTTCATTTGTTCTGTAATCAATAAAGGAGATTTACTATTACTCTTCTCCATTAGAATAACTAAGGAGGGTGAAAGGGCACCTTCATTGAAAGGTGCCTCTGGAAATCCAGATCTAGAATTCGAAGATGCAGAGGGAAAAGTAGGGGAGAGAAGCTTTAGAGAGAGTCATAATGCGACTGTGTTGAACTCTGTGGACTCTGTGGAAGCAGTTAAAGCTCTGGGTTTCTTACCCCTTCCCTTCAATGGCTTCTCTTCTCTCTTTCTCACTTCCGAAACCTGGTATAGTGAGAGCCGCTTCACTCTCTCCCACAACTTCCATCCCCACCTCCCCGTCAGACGACAGGTGGCACACCTGAAGAAAAGTTTGGCAGAAAGGGAATCAAGTTCACAGACTCGGTCGCAGAGCTAACAGTCAGAAAGGACAGCTCACTGAAGCTCCACATTCCTGATGCTCATGTCACTTCATACTTGCCCAAAGTCCACTAGAAGGATGATGGCTTTGAAGAAAAGTTCTCTACACAATCCCACCAAGTGGGGATGGGAAGCAATCCAAAGGTGGAATTGGTTTGGTTCTCCACGATGTCTCTCCTCAACCTTCTTCTCTTACTGGCCTAAAGCAATCCAAACCTTTGATAGAAACAAGGGTTCTATCGGGTTTGATAATTTGGGGATTAGGGTTATACGAATAGAATTAGGGATTTGAGAAAGAAAGATAGAGAGTCGGCCTAGGCCTTTAGAGGGATTGAGATCGAGAATTGAGAGGATTGGGAAAATAGGGTTTAGGAGAGTTTACTTAATATTCTTCTTATTGATCCCGAATAAAACGCAAAGTACATATTTATAACGAAAGACTGGAAAAAACCTAATAGACTATCCTAATATGACTTAAATACTACTAACCATATCTAATAAAATTCTAATAATAACTATAATAAGCATAATAGAAATCGTAGGTTTCTATCATCCCCTCCCCCTTGAAAGTAACCTTGTCCTCAAGGTTGTGATTAACTTCAATTTGCTGGACCTTCCGTTTTCTTTGTTTCCAATTACGCTCAAGCTTTGAAATGACCCTCTTTCCCATAACTTCCTTGTCCTTCGATGCCACTCCCACATCGTGACACTTGTCCTCTTCACCATAGCCCGACAATTCCATCTCCTCTTCAAAATCCACACAATACGAACCAGAGAACGACTCTTCCTTGTACCTATGCTTATTTAAGCTCTTGAAAACTTCAATTGGATGCTCAATAATTTCCATCCAATGCTGGCCCCAACCGGTCAACGTTTCCCTGTACATCAAACTAGGCCCATGGCTGATTGGGCTTGAGTTTGACCAACACAACTCCTTCCTCTCATCTCCTGCTCGTGGCTTCCATTCTTCCTTAATAGATTTCCATCTCATCAGTTGAATTATGGAAACGAAGAGCTTACCAATGTTACCATTAAGGCATCCCTTTTTACCACCGTTCGGCCGCCATATTCTCATCTCATCCAAGTCGTTCCCCTCATCATGTCGGCCCAACTCAGTTGGCCCTTTGGCCCCAGTGACCGGTTTAGCTTGGCCCAACTTAAATGACGAGCCCACTGCCTTTTTCCCATCACCAGAAGCCCAATTCGTTTGACCCCATTCGTCATGTTGCTGGCGGTTTAGGGCGAGAGGCAGCAGAAGGTTTGCGAGACCAATGAACCCGCCGCCGCCCACCTCCTTCGTCACCTTCTTCTTCCACGGCGGCGAACCTTCTTCACCTCGACCTCTGGTCACGGGCGAGCATCCAGCTGATCGGAAGCCGAGATTGGAGCTGCAGTAGCGAGCGGTGTCGCCTCAACTCTCCCATCCGACGTCGCATGCCCGGAAGTCGTCTTCAATCTCTCGACCTAATCCACCGCCAGGGTCACATTTTCTAACGATTCCTTCTCTGTCTCCTCCTCCTCCGGCGGCGATGGCTTTTTTGGCGCCTTCCTCCTCGGCGAACAGGCCGGTATCTCCCGACCCCTCGCTTCTTCTTTCTCCGGCGCTGAGCGATGAATCGTTCTGCCGCCTTCCTCCTCCATTCCTGGCGACGAGCGAATATTCTCGCTGTCAGCCCTCGATTTAATTTCCCCGACACCCGACGCCACGAACAGCTCGAGCTGCCCACTACGTGAGTCCTTCCTTGGTGGCGAAGTGCTCCCCCGTTGGCGGGGATGTTCTTCCACTTCCGACCACTTCTCCCTTTCCGGCGGCCATCAACTCATCCAACTACGACGAGGCGAGCTCCGCTTCGCCATCGTCTTTAGCTCCTTCCAGTTCGCTGTCGCTTCGCAGCGAGTCGCACCGCCCGCTCCCGATTTCGTCACCGTAAACAGCTTACGGCGCTCAGCTCGCTGCTCAGTTGAGCCCATTCTAATATCTGCCGCTTCCTCCGAGCCTTGTTGCCGATTGACTGGAACAGATGGCGGGGTCTGCGGGATTCGCGTTGTCTGCGAAGTCAACTGGCGAGTCTGCTCCGCCTCTACTTCGCGTCGTCCCTCCTTCCCCGCCTCTTCATTCCTCAGCGATTGCTCCAACGGGTCAAGCTGGGAATTCGATTCCCCCTCCCCATCGTCTCGTCGGTTTGCGTTGGTGCGGAGCTTTGCTAGCACCAAATGGTGTCGCCCGGTCGATTCTCCTCGACCCAGCGGAGATCCTCCGCCAAAGCCCTCGTCCTCTTTCGTACCCTGCTCCTTACGAAACTTCCAACATTCAATTAGAGGTTGCAACAGAATTGGGGTTGTTCTCGAAGTAGTACCTTTGATGGCTTTGTCCGGGATGCCACGCTCCCGGTGGCTGGTAATGGTGGCTAACGGCGGAATTGGCTTCGGGCTTACCTCTTTGTCTGCTACAGTAGTAGGTGTCCTTGAAATAGCGACGGCGGTTGATGGTGGTGGTGGTTCTGTCGCCCTAGCTGAGGCGGAGAGAGTCTTGCCAAAGATGGATGGTTGCTCGGTGGTGATGGTGATGCTTGTGATGGCAGCGGCGTCCCACTACGTCGTGGCCGTCGCCACGCCAGACCCCGTGGCTGGGATCGTCTCCGGCACAGCCGCCGCATCAGCCCACCCTCGTTCATGCGCCTCACGTTTGAGTTCGGGCGGGTATTCGATCTGCTGTCGGATGCGAGCCCATGTCGGATCGGAGAGCCTTGATGAACTCATGCAGGCTCTGATACCAAATGATAAAAACAAGGGTTCTATCGGGTTTGATAATTTGGGGATTAGGGTTATACGAATAGAATTAGGGATTTGAGAAAGAAAGATAGAGAATCGACCTAGGCCTTTAGAGGGATAGAGATCGAGAATTGAGAGGATTGGTAAAATAGGGTTTAGGAGAGTTTTCTTAATATTCTTCTTATTGATCCCGAATAAAACGCAAAGTACATATTTATAACGAAAGACTGGAAAAAACCTAATAGACTATCCTAATATGACTTAAATACTACTAATCATATCTAATAAAATTCTAATAATAACTATAATAAGCATAATACCATAATAGAAACTGTAGGTTTCTATCAACCTTCCCTTCTCACAACTTCTGAATGGTCAGTCAAGGCTGTGGATTCTGATGCCATTGAAGCCCGACTCCCCTGGATTGTTCGACTTCTTCTATGAACCCGAGGAGAAGCCCGGGTCATGGAAAGTACAGGACATCCCTTTTACAATGTACGTTGAATCATAGGATTAGTAGAGTCTATGATGCTGCTCCACCCGAGGAGAGATCGAAGCCTTTCTACAACACCCCGCCATCCAAATATGAGACACTTGATTAGGTGAAAAAGATGAGCACTTTTGTTTGTGTTCTCCGGCGAGAAAACTCTTGTGTCTTGAGATGGATTGCACCTTTGACTTCTATGGACAACGATTTCTAAGACACGGCTCAAACCTCTTCAAACAAAGTTCAAACGAGGGTGTTTGATTGATGGTTTTTGGGAACGAGATCTAAATTAAATTACTTCTACTCCTATGGAGGTTCGGCGAGAGCTCCAAACTACGAACTACATTTATGGCTACATGATAGAGAAAAGGTAAAGGATAAACTTGACATGTGTGTCAGAGTGTTGGTTTTCAAACCCCTGTCTCTGTCGACCCCTCCTATTCTTAATAGCCCCGAGGAGGTAACCGCCATAGAAAATCGCTTGTTGGATAACTGCTACAAAGAACCGCTCCTCCTTCTTCGGTGGAAAACCGCCTCTTGGATAACTCCCAAAAAGAACTGCTCCCTGCTCCCTCGGAGTGGTGGTTACTCCTTCAACCGCCTAGGTACCTCTCTTGGAACCGTCGTGGGTTTTGGAGCTTGTTCTGAATCTCGTGTCATGCTAGTCTTTTGATGAGCATGTAGTGTCTCGTAAAGGGGGTCGTGGTCTTCTTGCCACGCAGCCATGGACTTCTTACTCATATCCATGGCCTTCTTGTCTTACGGCCATGAACTTCTTACTCATGTCCATGGCCTTCTTGTCTAACGGTCATGGACCTCTTGAGACATATTCACTAGTGATATAATGCTCCATCACCACGCCCTTCTCATTCGTGTCCATGGCCACTCTTGTGACACGGCCATGGACCTCTTAATCATGCACATGACCCTTCTCGTGAGGCGGCATGACCTTCTCAGACTTAGTATATTTTGGATCATGGCCTCCTCATTCGCGGCCATGGACTTCTCAGTCATGTCTGTGGCCCTTCTCGAGGTCTTCCTTGAGATGGCATGTGCTTCTAAATTATAGAAGGACATGTTTTTTGTATCGTTTGGTCTTGGTTATGAGGCGGCATGGCCTCTTCATTCATGGCCATGGACTTCTCATACTTAGAAATCTTCATGCCAACTCGTGGCATGGCATGGCCTCTTACGAGAGGCCCATGTCCCTTATTGAATCATGCCCATGCTCATTAATGAGCTAGTGACTTGGGTTTAAAATCAATATCCATAAGACCTAATTTAAACAACATTAATTGTTATAATGGGTGTGGCCTTATAAACTCATTGATTATCTTGTAACTCACCAATGTGGTACAAGACAAAATTTATGGTGTAAACAGTTTGGTTGGTTTGATTCTGTGACTTTGAATTGGGATCCCTAAGGTTGTGCTGCTTTTTTTTCAGGGAAGGGAGATACTCTTCAGGATGATTAGGCTGGGATTTGAGGACATCTACGTGTCAAGTCCGGGATTATTCTCAGAGTCAGAGAGGCATCATTTCATCTGCACCGGGCCTGCTGCAATGCTGGTGCCTGTGGTTGTGAAGCCTGGTGAAGAATGGAGAGGAGCACAAGTTATAGAGCATGACAATCTGTAGTCCAAGAAAGAAAGAAAGAAAGAAAGAAAGAAACTACCATGAAATCGATTTTTTTGGTAAATATTCAATATTAGTTTAATATACCATCACTTATACTTTTAGGATTTTGTATTATGCACTCACTTTTTTTTTATTCAATGCACTCGCCTCATAATTGTCATTCTGAGTAGGCGATTCATGTCAAAATGATATCAATTATGACTTGTAAAACGTCGGAGAAGAAAACACCTGAATTCGCACAAAAATCATTCAAGATTTACTTTTGTTTGAAGGTTTTAGAGTTTAGAGATTTAGGGTTAGAGTTTATAATTTGAGGTTTTGGGTTTGGGTTCAAAATTGAAGGTTTAGGGGTTAGTATCATAGTAATGCTACCAACTAAAATTCAAAATTTTATGTTTTAATGCTACTTTTAGAGTTGAATGCGCAAAAAAAATGTGAGTGTACCAAAGTAGCCATGATACTTATAGTCTTGATTATCAAACAAATTTTAAGAAGTATTATGAGCGATATTGTATTTGTAACAACTCAAATTATTGCAATAAATTGATTCTTGACATGCGACGAGATTAAGCATTTTGATTATTGTTAAGAGAATGGTATTTGTGGAGCTCATTCACCCAAAGAGCTTGCTTATGAAAGTAAGAAGGATAAGACTTTCACAAAACGGTTGGCTAACAACTTATAGGGATACAAATCGGTCTCTTCTCATAAAACCTGATCCCATTTCATCAATTATGAATTAATATCTCTCAAGGAATATGATATTTTCACAAGCAAAAAAGATGGGAAATATTTCTGACTCCATCATCTTGAAGTTCAGCTCCTATTCCTAAGGACGTAAGTTGAAGTGGCCCCCAGTTTTACACCTTTCCATTCCCAATTTTTCTCTTCCCGCCCTTGGCTTTCACCTTACTTGTCTCTCTCAAAGACTCAAACCCACAAATCCCATCTCCTCCACATTACGAAACCTCTCTTCCTACTACCCTTCTTCTCTTTCTCCTTGTCTTCCTTCCTTTACACAAACCAGTCAAATGGAAATTGTGTAAAATCGAAAATGGGGTAAAATCGGAATGGTAAAATCTTAGGATTTTTAGGTCCATATACAAATGAAGACAGAATAATATTAGTAAGGAAAATCACGAATAACACAAAAGCACATAACACTTGCAATGATAATTTTCGAGGTTAATATTCCAATTTATCAAGGTTAATGTTAAGAGGTGGTGATCGATGATGATTAATACGTTGATGTGAATTGATTATAGTCGATGGTGGTTAGTATGAGAGAACTAGATGATGTTGGTGGAGGAGAAGAAAAAAGAGGCATAATTTTGCAAATTATGGGGAAAATAAGTAAAATTGACTCAATGATTTGAATCATAAAATCGTAGTATTTTAAAAAATTTAAGGATTTAAATTGTTAATAGTGTAGGATTATAAGGTCCATAGATTTTATAGGGGTTAATTGCAAGGTTGGTCACTGGGTTTACTAAAAACGTTCATGTTTGGTCACTGAAAATATTCAATTCCATTCTTGGTCACTAAGATTAGTTAAATAGTTCAAATTTGGTCACTCTCCGTTAGTCTCCGTTAATTTTTAATGATGTGGCAGCCAACTATTATAGTTGACCGTTAAATGAGTGACGTGACAATTAAAAATATTAAAATAACAAAATTTAAATATTTACAATTTCCACATTATTTTATAATTATTAAAAAATAAAAATAAAACTTAATTCCTATTATTCTATAAACACCTAATATTCAGAAACCCAGATGGTGATACATGATCGTAAAGATCAAACTTTTTTCCTGTTTTACGTCTACCTCATGGTAATTGATGGTACCGGCAGAGTCGATGTTGAATTTGGAATCGAGACCCCTCTTGTGAACCATGTGTCTGAAGATTCCCTCGGGTGCTGGGCTCCGGCAGATGTTGCCGAGGTAGACGAACAGAACGCAAAAAGGCTTCGTGGTTGAGGTGGTGGGGTCCGTCGTCGGCAGAGTAGTGGAAGACACTGCCATGGGAGGAGGTGCGAATTGGATGTGTACGGCGAGGATTGGGGGAGTGATGATGGAATCGGGGAAGTGAGTTGGGGGTAAATTGGGGATGGAGGGAGAGAAAGCTGGGAGCCACATGGATATTTGGATTTTAGGTGACATGGATCTAGCGGGCTTCTAGAAATTGAGGCAAACAAAATTTCAAAATCATATTGAAATTTGCACAAAATTCTCGAATTGTCAATTGTATGAAAATTCATAATTGCCTTGCGAGATTCTCGATCATGCCGAAGCTTCTCTGTTTTCCATCGCCTTCTTCCAATCTCTTTTCTCTCTGCCTAATCCTAAACAATCGAAAAAGTTCAATCCTCGTCTTAGCCAGAGAGACCTACACCGATTGAGTCGTCTTCCATTCTCCGCCCATTCGTCTCTCACCCTTCCGTCTGATGGCCTGGA